TTTAATATATCATTATCACTATTATTTTCTTTGTTTTGTTCGAAAGAAAGTGTGAGAAAAAAATAAAGAAAACTAGCGTAATATAGAAAAAAGTTTATCACATGATGATTGCAAATTTTCTGATTAGATATATCACATGATTATAACTGTAATGCAACGCATATGTCGTCAATTTGACACAGATTTTAGATATACAAATCTATATAAGTATTACTGCTGAGGTGATACAAGAAGCTTAAAATAAAAATTTTATTATTGATCATTTAATTTGAACTGAAATAATATAATAGAGACGAAATAGATAAATTTCATCAAAATTAAGCAAAACAAATAAAATTTACCAGAATTGATAAAACTAAAGTAAATAGAATTTTAATAAAGAGTCTAACTAGATATAAATATAGTAAGATATGAAGAAAGTTGATTACTTGAAAAAAAACTCTTTCTCGTTAGATTTTGTCTAAAAATTTTTACATTGTGACGGGTAAAATTTTAGATAGATTTAATTTGTAGAATATTAAGTCCATTTTATTGCCATGTAGATCTTTTATGAAGATCAATTTGTCCATTTTATTGCCATTGATCAATTATGTAAATCATTAGATGTCAATTTTATTGCCTTTGATAATTACGTAGATCATAAATATCTATTTAGTTGCCTGCAGATCTGGCAATTTTATTGACATAGCAACTTTATTGTCTAGCAAAATGGTAACTTTATTTCTTTCAATATATTTAGTTTAGTTTATTTTATTATTTATTCAACATGTATAAATATCTCTGTATTTTCTTTGAGTCTCTGCACCAATGAGATGTTAATCTTTTAGGTATTGAACTTATATATTATATTAATAAAGGAGTATAATTAACCAAGTATAAAACTTATCCTTTGCAAATCCTTTGAAACTATTATAAATTATCTGTGACCCTTTGCATTCGTGCAATCCCTTTTATTAGTAAACTTATTATATGATATTGTATTGATTTGCTGTATTGACTTATAATCTCTGAAGTGTAATCTCTGAAATATCTTTGAGTTAACTTTGAGTTTATTTTGTGTTTATTTCACGTGATTTATATTGAGAATAACTCTTTGACGTTATTGTAAATCCTTACCCGTGATTCCTTGAGTAATTGTCTTAGTTTTATTTACCCCTTTTGAGATTTTATTTGAAGCCATGAAACCATCATAACACCATAAATTCTTTGCTATACAAAGTTGAAATAGAGGTTTCTTGTCTATTAATTACACCAAAATTAAAATGTAATATTTCTTCTATAAAGTAATTTTTATAATTACTACTTATCTATATTTTTGTTACTTTTTTTAAAAAGGTAAAAAATATATTTTCTTAACGTTGATACCATGTGAAGTCAATCTTACTGTGTCACAATGATTGATGAATGATCAACGTTATTAACATCATTAGCATTCTTAACTTAGTTAACATTTTTATTTTATTTATTTTATTCTTATATTTTATTATTATTATCTATTATATTATTATTATCGTTAAATTATAATTTATCTTTTATATTTATTTTATCATTATAAAATAGTTTAGCGTTAGATAGCAATTTCTTATAATTGTATTTTTGTATAAATATGATAGAAATTTGTCCTTGTAAAAGGGCAGAGATAACAGTGTAAATTCAATAGTTCAAGTTCAAGACTTAGAATTTAAGGTTAAGGATTGCTAAGGATACAACTCTCTACAATAAAGGAATCTCTTTCTTAACTACACATATTAAAAATCCTTCAACATATCAATTGTGTTTATCATGATTACAAGTTGTTAAATTTGTTTTACTTGTCTAGAGTATAAACCTTAGGTTGATTGTAATAGGACTTATTCCACAGTAACTTGGTAGTTTCTCGCATGTTACTCCTTATTATTAAATCATAGTTACCCTAAGTTCGACAGCTGAGCGTAGGATTAACAATATGTAAACGTATTATCAATAATGTGAAAACTGCATGAGAGAATCATCTAATTTGGGCTAAAAATACAAATCACGTGAGAGGTGATAAATTATTTACTACAGTTTTACCACAAAGTTTTTCACCCATATAAATTATTGACCAGCATTATAACTTGACTGAAATTAACTAATTGATAAATAATGTGACAAATAAAATTATCATTAACTATCCTAGGATCACTAACAAAAAATTACTTTCACATGACTTTTTGGTCAGAATTATGGCATTAACTGTGAGTTAAGACATTATGTACGTGATGAATAGTAGTGTGATGAATAGGATTTTACATACTAAAAAAATTCTGTTCCTAGAATACTTAGTAAAAATGAAAAGTAAAGGATGTGACGTGAGATAATAAATATTTTTTATATGATCACGTAAAAGTGATTTTTTATTAGTGATGCTGAAAAGATGATTATTACTTGCAAAAAATTTCTAAATGGTGTGATGCAAACAACATATTATTTGAGGTCATATGATCATATGAGGGTGAAAAATGGTAGTAATACTAGAAAGATATGAAAATGGGTAAGATGAATTTTTTCACACTAACTATTTTTACAAATTTTAGAAGAAGTATAAGAAGAGTTTGCAAATAAAATTGTTGAATACACTTTATATCATCTTTTGTAATAAGCCTTGATAAATTAATATTCTTTTAAAAAAATCACATGAACATTATCAATAAAAAAAACCATCATACAGATTAAAATAAAAGTCTAGTAATTTATTTTATGCAAATAATTATTTATTAAGCAATAATGTAAGAAAGTAAATGATAAAAAATGCAAGAAGAAGCATATTATGCAAATATACAGTACCCGGCAAGAAGTCACCAGTCACATGATTGTTGATCATTATTTGTTTATTTTTAAAACCTGTTATTTCAGCCATTTCTTATTAATACACCTCTAGTTTTTTGCCACGTATTACTAAAATCTTTCTTATTTAAACATGGCTTTTAAAAGAAAAGAACTTTCCATTTTTAAACGTGGTGAAGTCATTGGTGCTTGGAAATGTAAAATAAGTGAAAGAAAGATTAGCGAAGCTTTAAACCATTCCTAAAGTACCATTAATGATATTATTTTTGCTTATAAAATTTGTGAAGACAAAACACTTGCTCCTAAAACTGGTAGACTGCCTATAATGATTGAAAGAGATGGTCATCATTTGACGAGAATTCTTAAAGAAAATAGAAAATGAACCTTCAGGAATTACATGAAGAATTTGTCAATTCCACTTCAACAAAAGTTAGTAAAAAAACTTTAAGCACTTACCTTCATGAACAAGGTTTCTATGGTCAAGTTGGTGTAAGAAAACCTTTCGTAAGTGAAAAAAATAAGCAAAAAAGACTTGCCTGGACTAAAGAAAGAAAAGAGTGGATAAATAAATGAGAAAGTATCATTTGGAGTGATGAATCCAAGTTTGAAGTATTTGGAGGAAATGGTAGAAGATGGGTTTGGAGGCGGCCTCATGAAAAGTATGATGTGAAGTGTTTAATTCCTATAGTAAAGTCAGGTCAATAAGGAGTAATAGTGTGAGGATGTTTCGCAAAATATAATATTAGTCCATTAGTAAAATTAGAAGGGAGGGTAACAGCTGCGGTATATAAGAAAGTGTTAAAAAATAATTTAATTCCATTTTTAAAAGGTTTAGATAATCAGGATAATTATTTTTTTCAAGAGGATAACGCTTTTATACACATTGCAAATATTATTAAAAGATGGAAAGTGAAACATAAAGTGAATAGTATTCTCTAGCCTGCACAGAGTCCAGATCTTAATCTGATAGAAAATTTATGAAATTAATTAGAAAGGCAGGTGTGAGCACATACTTCATTACCAAAAAACAGGGAAGATTTATGGGAAATACTTCAAGAGGAGTGGTCAAATCTTCATGTTAATAAATATCAAAATCTTGTTGATAGCATGCCTCGTCAAGTTGCTGCTGTTATAAAAAGTAAAGGTCATCCAACAATGTATTAATAAATAGCTGAAGTTTTTTATTATACAAATAAAAAAAATTTTATTAAATTTGGTGTGGCAATGATCGAGTAATTTAAATTAAAAATTTGTATTAAAATTGATCCGCATCACGTGACTGGTGATTTGTTGCCAAGCACTGTACATCTAGTTATATTATTAAATAAAACTGCCTGGTTATTACTAATAAATTTTATTTAATAAAAGAAATGTGATGAGAGGATATATATATCTTGTAAATAATATTTAATAGTTTTTTGCTTTAATTCTATTTTGGTCATTTCATCTATGAAATCGTTAAAATTGGCAATATCATCAAATACCATTGTAGATATATCCAACTTTTTTTTTTGAAAAGTAGATATTCATCATCAAATTTACTACTTCTTTGATATATATTTTTACTTGTTTGATTAATATGATCTTGAATAATTCTAATTGCTAAATTTTGAGATACAAAGAAAGCAGATATTTTATTACTATATTTTCAAATAAACTCCTAATAATTATTGAGTTTAGTCAGGACTACTAGCACATCATATTTGGATCAACAATTAGCTAAAACAAGCTTTACCTAAGCTTGATACCTTTCTGATGCGTCGATAGTTTCTTGCTTTTTAAATTCAAATATTATTTAAGTTCCATTTACTTCTTGGCCCTTAGCTTTTGAAAAATCAATATTTAATATTGCAAGATCTATTGTATCCCTAATATTAAAGGAAAGCCATGGCTTATCTATGTCAGTTAGAAATTGTTAATTATCTTGAACATAATACCATTCTATAATTATTAGTAAAGATATGAGATTAGATAAATAGCCTTTATATTTCTTAGCTTGCTTATTTTCATTAAACTTCATATTCTAAGTAAATGGTTCTGATGAAGTAATAATATCTTGTTGAGTTTTCTAATTTATTATATTAATCATATGTTGAAGGTAATTTTTTATTTTGTTCATATCTGTAAGACCAATTTTTGATATATTTATAGATTTGCCTTTTTCAATTCTGTAATTATCTTTTTTAGACCTACTTCTAAATTCTATCAATAATTACAATTTGAGCTTTTTGTTTAATCCTTAAGGTACATTTTGCAACAGAGATTGGTTCATTATCACTTTCTACTAAAATGGCTTTCTTAGATTCATTAATAATTCTTTCTCTTGAACATCTAATAGCTTAAATTAATCCAGCCTACCACTAATTTTTCTTAACCTGCCTCTAATTTTATTTGGCTTATCTCTAATTTTTCTTGGCTTGTTTCTAATTTATCAATCTAGTAAGAATTGTCAGATCTGTTATAAAAAAATTAGTAAATGTCTCTTGTAAGTTACAGAAGAATTACATTTATGTTAACTAATTATTATGACGCAAAGGCTTACCTGTGATTTTGATAATGTTAAATATAAGAGGAGCTTCAAAGGTAGTGTCAAAATCCTCATCCACAATATGATCAGAATTAATAACTTTACTGCCTTTTATAAGATAATATATATAGTTAATAGCCATATTATCAAAGTCAGGTTTTAGGTTCTCCTTAATTTATTTTATTAAGTCATTTACATTGTTAGGTCTGGAATCATCTTAAAACTAAGCTAACAAAACTAATAAACTTAAAATCAAAATTATCTTGAAGGCCTTTTCTAAGAGAAATTAATGATTAATAATTAAAACAATTTATTATCATGATTTATTTGTGTAGTAGATTGTCATGATCAATTCTATGATGAAAACAAGAAAAAGATTAAAAGTAAATTTATTAAATTGTAGAGTTATAAGTCTAGTTTTAAGACTTATTCAAAAAACTATCTAATCGAACTCTGTTGACTCAAGGCCAACTTACAAGTCTATTTATATAAAATTGTTAACTATTATTATATAAGTAATGAAAAGTAGACTATATAATATTTATATTAAAAGATAAACTATTTGATATATGTATTATAAAGTTGACTAAATAATACATGTTCTACATGTTTAATATATATAATATTTAGCGCAGTTAAAGATCTTTTTGAGATGTAGTACGATCTGTGACTAACAAATCTTCCTTCCTAATTTTTGAATTTTGAAAGAAATTCATCAGTTTCTTTCTCATTTCTAATAAAAAGTTGGTGAGTATAATTAACTAAAGCTCTGAATTCAAAAGCTTTAAGTTATCGTATAGTTGTAAAGTTGATAATCTGAGTTTATTGAATTTGTTCTATCCTAAAAATTCAAATAAATAATAAATTCTGGTAACTTCTAATTGATAATAAATAATCAGAAATGAGTTCCTCTATCAGATAAAATCCTTTAAAGGCATCCATATTAATATATGATATCTTCATAAATAAAATTAGCAACTTGTTCTGCAGTAGTTTCTGATAAGGCTCTAGTTTTAGGCCATTTAGTCATATCATCTATTGTTATTACAATATATCTATTTTTTTCTTTCTGTGACAGGTAAAGGTCCTACAATATCGATTCCTATTCTATAGAATGGGTTTTCTGCATCTATTAGATATAGAGACTCAGTTTATTTGTATTTTTCTCTTCTTTGATAAGAATCACATTTTTACATATATTTTCATATATTTTCATACATTTGAGGCCAATAATATTGTGTTCTAATTTTGTCAAATACACTATCTGTTGATAAATGTCCTCCTAAAGGATCATTATGTAATATGTACAATAAAGCATTTAATTCATTAATTTTTATTACTCTCAATAATTGTTCAGGAGTAATAGTCTTTACTTTGTATAAAATATTAAATTTAATAATATAATTTTTTAATTGTTATTTAATTCTTTGTTTTTCTATTATTGTTAAAGTTAGTAGTAATAATTCTATCTTTAAATAATTAAAAATATTAGTATAATATATGTCATCCATTTTTGTTATAGAGCTGTCTATCATAATATAGATACTTTTGCTTTCACTCTAATTATTATCTTAATAAAAATTAGTTTTAATATAAAGGAACTTCATTAAGAAGTTCTCTAAGTAAATTTTCCAATAGAATATTATTATTTTTTTATTGTACTATTAATAATTTTTCCTAAAATACATTATTGCAAAGATAGTTAAGGTTTATATCAGGTTGTATTTTTTCTAATCTATATTTTACGATACAATTATGAATAACTGTCCTATAAGGTAAATTCTTTTTATAGGCTTTACAGTAGGTATGAATGTATTAGTTTTTAGTATCACAGTTGAAAGTATATTGTGACTCTTCTTTTGTAATAGGTTATCCAGCGATAACTTACTTGACTTTAATAAATTACAATAGATATCTTCTAATTCATCTTTAGGTAATTTGTATCTAATAGTTGTAATTAATGGTTCATTTGCAAATTATTGGTATAATTGTCTCTCAAATCATAATTCTTCAGGATCAAAAGTTGGATTTTCTTTGTTGAAGAATACCATTCAATTTCAGATTTTTCATCCCTGATAGATACCATAAAGATTTTACGAATATCTTCTTCCCCTTCAGGTTATTCATCATTAATTCTTGATAAGGTATCAGCATTTGCATTATATTTTTCTGGTCTATGTTGAATAGTATAGTAATAGGATTATAATTCTATCATCTATCTATCATATTATCCTCTTGGTATTTTAGATGTTTATAGTCATTTTAATACTGAATAGTCTGTAATTAATTCAAATTTAGCTGTGCATAAGTAATGATAAAAATATTGAATAGCCTATACAATTGCTAAATACTCTTAATCTGTAATTGAATAGTATTTTTCCTGCTAGGATTAAGCTTCTATTGGCATAAGTGATGAGATATTTTCTTCTCTTTTTATCTTTTTATACTAAAACAGCTCCTAAACCTAATGCTCTGAATAGTTCGGTTCGGTCTGGATTATAGGCCAATCTGAAACTGAACTGAACCGTAAACTGGTAAAAATCTAAACCAAACTGAAAATTTCGGATTAATCTGAAATTTCAGATCATTTGGAACGATCCTTTTATCGTTCGTTTGGAACGATAACTTCAATCGTTCCAAATGAACGATTTTTTTATCATTTAATTGGAACAATTTTTTATCATTCGTTTGGAACGATATCTTCAATCGTTCCAAATGAACAATTTTTTATTGTTCGTTTAGAACGATATCTTCAATCGTTCCAAATGAACGATTCTTTTATCGTTCGTTTGGAACAATATCTTTAATCGTTCCAAATGAACGATTCTTTTATCGTTCGTTTGGAATAATATCTTCAATCGTTCCAAATGAATGATTTTTTATCGTTCGTTTAGAACGATATCTTCAATCATTCTAAATGAACGATTCTTTTATCGTTCATTTGAAACGATAATTTGATCATTCCAATCGAATGATTCTTTTATCGTTCATTTGGAATGATATCTTTAATCGTTTCAAATGAACGATTCTTTTATTGTTCTTTTGAAACGATAATTTGATCATTCCAAATGAATGATTCTTTTATTGTTCTTTTGGAACGATAATTTGATCGTTCCAATCGAATGATTTTCTTATCGTTCTTTTGGAATGATAACTTTAATCATTCCAAATGAACGATTCTTTTATCGTTCATTTGGAATGATAATTTCATCGTTCAATTGAACGATTTTCTTATCATTCATTTGAAACAATATTTCATCGTTCCAAATGAACGATTTTCTTATCGTTCATTTGAAATGATATTTTCATCATTCCAAATGAACGATTTTCTTATCGTTCGTTTGAAATGATATTTTCATCGTTCCAAATGAACGATTTTCTTATCGTTCGTTTGAAACAATAACTTCAATCATTCCAAATAAACGATTTTCTTATCGTTCGTTTGGAATGATAATTTGATCATTCGTTTAGAATGATAATTTGATCGTTCCAATTGAACGATTCTTTTATCGTTCGTTTGGAACAATAATTTGATCGTTCTAATAGAACGATTCTTTTATCATTCATTTGATATGATAATTTGATCGTTCCAATTGAACGATTCTTTTATCGTTCGTTTGGAATGATAATTTCATCGTTCTAATCGAACGATCCTTTTATCGTTCGTTTAGAACGATAATTTTATCATTCCAAACGATCTGAAATTTCAGATTAATCCAAAATTTTCAGTTCGGTTCAGTTCGGATTTTTTTCGGTTCAGATTAGATTTATAATCTGAAAAAATCTGAACTGAACCGAAAATTTTCGGATTGAAATTTTTGCAATCTGAAACTGAATCGAAGTTGATCTGAACTATTCAGAGCTTTACCTAAATCTATTCCTTATACATCAGTATATAAATAGAAAGTTTCATTAAAATTTGAATATTATAGAATTAATGTATTAATTAAATAATTTTTTAAATGATTAAATGCATTTTGTTGCTTTTCGATCTATTCAAATGTTTGATCCTTCTTTAATAAATTATTAATAGATTTTGCAATTCATGAGAAATTTTTAATAAATTTTCTATAATAAGAAAATAATCCTATAGCTAATCAAACTTGAGATACATCTTTTGGTATTGGTAAGTCTTTTACTTTTTCAATTTTGGCTGGATCTGGTTGAATACTTCTCTTCAATTATATATTTTAGAAATATTAAGTTAGGCATGCAGAAATTACATTTCTTAAACTTAATTCTTAAATTGGCTTCTCTTAATGCTTAGAAAACTTATTTAATATGATTGATGTATTTAGGGTTAGATCGGTCCAGTCCGGTCCAGTCCGATCCAAAAAGACCGGTCTTTCATCTTTCTTTGGACTGGACTGGTCCATAAGTCAGTCCTAGGACCGGTCTTGTATCATTCAGTCCTACCAGTCCGGTCCAGTCCAAGATTTGTTTTTTTCTCGAACCTGACTGATTGATAAGACTGATTCAAGGATCGGTTTAGAATATACTAGAAAAATATAAATAATCAATTTAATAAAATAATTGTATAAATTAAATAAAAAAGTATAATAAAATAATTGCATACGAAATGATTCCTGCACCTTCTTAATCTCGTTATTCCGATATTTTTATTTCAGATATTATCTTTATAGTAAACTATTATGACAGGTCTAAGAACTGACTTATAGACCAGACTGCTCCATAAGAGAGATAAAAACCGGGTCGATCCAACTCTAATTTTGTAATATTTTATGAATAAAACAATCTATTTAGTATTTATAAAATTTAAAATAATATGTATAAATAATAAAAAACTGGTCCAGACCAGTCCTCAAAATATGGACCGGGGACCGCAAGGATCAGTCCTATTAACTGGTCTAAGACCGGTCTTACCAGGACCGATTTATCCCTAGATGTGTTGTTCAAAAGATTTTGAATAAATTATGATATCGTTTAAGTATATTGAAACAAATTTAGTTACATAAGGTTGGTGAATATAATTTATGAGTCTTTGAAAAGTTCCTGAAGTATTACATAATTCAAAAGGTATTACATTAAATTCATATAACACAAAGTTGGTAATGAAAGCAGTTTTTTCTTTGTCTTTGTCTTTTTCTTTCATTTTAACTTGCTAGTAACCACTAGTTAAGTCTAGAGTAGTAAATCAATTTGTTATTCTTAATAATTCTAATAAATCATCAATTCTAAGTAAAGGATAAGCATCTTTTTTTATTACTACATTTAATTTTCTGTAATTGATGCATATTCTTTTATCTCCAGTCTTCTTTACTACAATTATAATTAGTGATGTATATAGACTCTTTGTCTTTTTAACAATACCATATCTTTGATTTCTTGACGTAAAAATTGCTGATTATCTGAGCTACATCTATATACTGTCTGTACAATTGGTATCTCTTTTTCTAAGATTATGGAATGTTTAATAATAGCAGTTCGTTCTGTATCTGTTTGACTTTCAGCACATAAATCACTATTTTTTTCAAACGTTTATTGAAAATTATTTTATTGATGAGTATTTAATGGTCTAACCTATAGTTTAAGTTTATCATGTTTCTCCTTAAAAAGGTCAGCTAAGTATATGCTTAAATATTTATTTTTATGTATTCTCTTATAAATTTCTTTCAAGATTCTATTTACATATTTGGGATTATTTCTCATCATTCTGCTATATCTACATATTCTTCAAACAAAATGGCTACTATTTTCCTTGCTTTTCTGGTTCAGTTTATTCAAGGATCTAGCCTGGTGTAATTCTGGTAATATATATACATTACAATCATAAAAGTTATTATTAAAAAGGTATTTTACACATTCAGATTCAATTGAAATACCTGTTTTTTATATGTTTCTCTTAATATTGCTTGAAGTGATATTTCATTAGATTCTACCTTTTTACCTGATATTTGTCACATATTATACATTTCTTTTCTTGGGTTAATTTTTATTACATAATAATATCATAGTGATTATATATAATATTTATTACATACTTTGATTGAGAATTATTTTCAATTTCACTTAAGAAGACATCATATTTATTTAAGTCTTCTTTATACTCATCCAAAACTTGGTCTAAGTTTTCTTTTTAATCTACCATTCCTTCTTCAAAAAGGATATTGAAGGTAGCTCTTTTAGTAACATATGAAATAGAAGCTGTTTTTATATTAAAGTTAAGATTTATTTTGATTTTTCTACACCAATCTACTTCTAATAATAAAGTATTCTGTGAAAATTCAATTACTTAAAGTTCTACTAGAACTGATACATATTGTATGATTATTCTTACTTCAGTAATTTGTCTTAAAGCCTTTACACGACTTTCATTTACTGTAGTTATAATAAATTTAAAGGTTTATCAATATTAAGTTCTAACTTTTTCGCTAACTTATTAGTAATAATACTAACAGCTGCTCTTATATCAATTATAGCTTCAATAGGATTATTTTTAATCCTGATATATGCTTTACAAGAAGTGGTTTTCTTTTCATGTTCATCATCTAAAAATTCTAAAAAATTAACATTATGTGTCGATGTAAAATAACATTTTAAAGCATTTGCTAAATTTCTTCTTTAGGCTGATATTTGTAACCATTGTCCTAAAGTTGTAAAGGATTGTCTTGAAAGAATATCATTAGCTATATTATATAGTGTAAGGTTATCAATCATCGAAGGATTTTGTGCTCTTTTAACTGGCTTTTTTTTAGAGATAGATTCTACTTCTATTTTAATTGGATTCTTAGTGTGAGTTTTAAGATTCATTTCTTTATTTGACTCAAAGGTTTTAATCATTTTTCTTTGTCATACTCTTGCATTCTTTCTGCCAATAGTATATAGTTAAGACCTTTCTCTTGTATATATTTTAGATATTTTTCTTCTCCTTCATCATCAGTAAAACTTCAATTAGATTAGTATCTCTTTATTTTATTTTAGAAAGTCTTTCTGATAAATATTCCTTAGAATAATGACCATTTTCCTCATATCACCAGCAAATTACTTAGCTTTTGTTAAAAGGTTTTCTATTATTATTATTCCTTATAGTATTTTTATTTTTGGGTAGAGTATTTATAGGCCTTGAAGTTCCATTTTATGCTGCTAATATATTAACAAAATTTGTATAGTTGAGGGAGAATTGTTTCATTTGTTTAGTCAAAACCTCAATTGCATCATTATTTATGGCTTGTGAAGACTTTCTCATATAATATGTTTCAGCTTCTATTGCTCTTGCTTCATTAACAGCTATTCTTAAATTTTCAGGATCTGCTATTACAACTCTTGCTACAATATTAGGTTTCAATTCATTTAAAAATAATCTAATTTCTTAGTCATTTGGTAAATGATCACCTGGGTCAACTAGTCTTTTAAGATTGTTAAATCTAGCACTGTAGGTATTTACGCTTTCATTTGTTATTTGTTTGATATTAGATAACTCATAATGCTATTTATTCTTTTGTCTTACTATAATAAAGTGAGCTCTGAATATAGAAACAAAACTTGTATTGGCTTGTTCTTGAATATTCCAGTAGCGAATAGTTGCTGATACATTATTATACCATAATGCTGCTAGTCCTCTTAAATATCCTGCAATAATAATACGTTTTCTTTCAACTGTCTAATTATTTGCTATTACGGCTATTTTAAAGTATTTGAGCTATTCCTTTGGGTCTTCACTATTATTTCCCCAAAATGGTTGCACTAGTATAATATTAGTTTCTCTGAGAAATGCTTGTGATTAAGCATCTCTAATTTCTTTAGCAATTTTCTTAAAAGAGTCACTTATTTGTCTAATAATTGCTGCAATACTATTATTATTCAAAGCTTCATTATCTTTAAATCTATAGTCTTCATTATCATCTTTCCATTCATTCTTAAAACCACTACGATGTCCTTGATTAGGTGGTTTTAATCTGCTTTGTTAATTATTATTTTTATTTTTGTCTTCTCCTGATATAATATCAATTGGTATTAGAGTAGGGCTTATTACTAAGAATGCTATTGAATCAAATTGGTTTCAACTGATTCTTTGAAGTTTGATTCTTTTGCTGTTTTAATTATACTTGAAGTTATAAATTCAGAATTTGGTTCAAATACTTTAGGATTGATAAAGATTAAGTTATATAATAATTTTTCAACTCTAATTTGCAGTGGTTTACAATATGCTGCTATAGTAGTATCAAGTTGTAGTTGTTTGAGAAAGATTAAAGTGGCAAGTTTTTCTGATAGTTTATCAAATAGAGATATAGTTTTTCCAGTAAATATAATTGCTCCAAACTCTGCACTAATCCAATACCAAAAATTTCTAAATTCCTAGGGATATTTTCTGGTATTAGATGTCAACTTAAACAGGTATAGTCAGTTGATAAGGTCGTTTGTCCTCTGTTATATTGTTCAATGTGTGCTTCTTGAAGTTTGTAATATTAATCCAAATTCATTCACAATTAAACTTTCAAAAGTCTTTTTCCTGGCAGGAATCACCAAACTGTTAGGCCTGGAATCATCTCAAAACCAAGCTAACAAAACTAATAAACTTAAAATCAAAATTATCTCGAAAGCCTTTCCTAAGAGAAATTAACGATTAACAATCAAAACAATTTATTATCACGATTCACTTGTGTAGTAGGTTATCACGATCAATCTTATGATGAAGACAAGAAGAAGGTTTATTAAACTGTAGAGTTATAAGTCTAGTCCCAAGACTTGTTCAGAAAACTAAATGATCGAACTCTGTCGACTCAAGGACAACTTACAAGTCTATTTATATAAAATTGTTAACTATTACTATACTACGCTTTTCGATAAGTACATATAATGAAAATAATATAAGTAATGAAAAGTAGACTATATAATATTTATATTAAAAGGTAAACTATTCGATACATGTATTATCAAGTCGACCAAACGATACATGTTTAACATGTATGATATTTGGCGCAGTTGAAGATCTTTTGAGGCGCAGTACGATCTGCGGCTAACGTCTTTCCGCCAAAAGAAATTTTAATCGATTTAATCCATATATGATACATTTTTGCGAAAAGTGTACGTGAAAGCAGAAAATATATGTGAAATGAGTTTACGCCTAAGAGAGTAAATAGAAAAAGTTATATATTTATATACTGTATCATATGTATTATGACATATCATATATTATGACATAGTTTAGAATGCAATCTACAGTGTTTCACAATGTCACGAGTGTGACGCAGTAAATATTTTATTTTTGCAAAACTTGATCATCGACTTAATTTTGATATTGATGCTACAGTAAAAGATTTTACCCGTTGAAGTTGAATCATATGCTCGCCTATTTGCCCATTCTGTTTTATTCCGAAGTCATCGCTAACTGATTCGGGAGCTGTTTTCGAGTTTCTGAGCCGATTATTTTTTTTTGTAGATCATATCTAGCATTCCAAAATTATAATACGATTTAAAAACATCTCTATTCGAATCTCCCACCTGACCTTCCATCTTAACAATTCGAAAAAAGTTACCAGTTCCACCTTCCATTCCTGTGATGTCTCAGAGGATATTCCTCGATTAATTTTCAATGTGTGGGAATCGTCCCTATTAATCGGCTTCCTGCTTTCTTGCTAGAGGATTTCCTCCAGAGATATCTTTACGTTTTTTACTGCTAGAATCGGGTTGTGTTTCCTCATCCATGTTCATCTCTTGATCTTCTTTGATTACTGGCGAATTCATCTGAAGTTGATTGCTCATTCTCCTAACTAACGATGAAGTACTTGATTGAGAATCTCGTCTAAAGCCTATATCAGATGTTCGGAAAGAGGGATCCTCAATAATAACTACACTGTAAGTAAAAGTTTTTATTGATGCAAAGGGATGTCCAATATAAATTTAAAAAGTAGATATGATGATAAATAACAGACATCATAATGGAAGTTTGGTTACCAGTGGAAACTGCTTCAGAATTACTAGTTTCCAATCTCGGATGCATCAAAAATAATAAAGGTAAGATTTTAAAGCCAAATGCCCTAGAGTGGTTATATACGAATAAAATTTAAAATTAATGGTTTTAACACTTCTACTACTATTCTATTAGTCGCACCCTATTCCAGAAATAAGCCTTTCGTTAATTATATCAACGGCATCAATGCGAAATCGGGCTAATAACTTAGAATGGATAACTCCTAAAGAGAAGTATTTCGGAATCCTGGTTGTGGTAGTTCTAGAAAATTGTGTAAATTTCTTTGGATGGAAATATTATTCGGGATTTGGATTCTATCACTCTTGCATCAAATACTCTTGATTAGTATTTCGGAATGTTGTAGATAAATCTGAATACTGATGGAGGATGGTGTTGGATGTACAGTCACATAGGAAAAGATCCTGATGAAGAATGGAGAGCTTGATTCACGAAAGTTCAAAGTTTCGTTTCTAGGGTAGATTCAATTGCCCAATGGTTGAATCTCGAGGATCTTTGGATGCAGGATATCTCAGTATCTCTCGAGAAAAATATCGTGTTCATCGTTCGGTGAGGTTAGCTTTTGACCCAAAGAAGAATGAAAAGAATATGTGAACCATATTGATGGAGATTCTATCAACAATAGGGCATCAAATCTTGAATGGTGTTCACAGAAAGAAAATATACAACATTCCATATGTCTTGGGCTTGGACACTGCTTCGGACTTCCAGATATTTAAATAAACTCGGGATAGTTGGCGAGAGAAAAAAGATTTATCCGACCTGTGAGACGAACACGTTCATTTCATAATTAAGTTTGTAACTTAACTAATTCTTTAAAAAAAAAATATAAAAATAAACAAATGTATTTATAATAACAAACATACTGAAATTAGCACAAAACATAAAAACAATAATGATTTTTCGAGAGAGAGAGAGAGAATAGGTCTTTATTAATTAATTAAACAATTAAATTAAATTATTTGAGGAAAATATTTTTTTTTTTTTTTTGTATTGTCAATTAGCCCCAAAAAAAATTGTTTCATGGATTAATAATATTAAAATATCACTTTAGATCTTCGAATACGCTATTAGTTGTAATATAATATTTACATGAATCATGTGTGTCTAATCAATATTTTCAATAATAAATGCTTGCGCTTAGCCAGATATAGATGAATCTATAACTGTTTCTCCTGAACACCGCGCAGAGGTGGCAAGCTTTGTTCAGGTTAAAAAAATATTTGAGGTGAAAAAAAGAAGAAAATGCATACGAATAAAATAGGGTCATAAAAATAGTTTAAAAGTTTTCACCTCAAGACATCATCAAAAATACAAAAACGGAAATTAAAAAAAAAATAAATAAATAAATAAAATTCTAAACTACAAAATGTGGATGAAGTGGCCAATGGGGGATTATTTTAAATGCAAAAAGGAACAAAAACAGCCAACTTCATATAATATATACGATACATCAAGGTACCGTAGTCATGCTTATCAAAAGATAAGCACCCTAGTGAAATTTTTTCAAAGGGGGAAAGAGTTTTTTTTTTTTTTTTTTTGAATTTTATTTTATTTTTTTTTATTTGAGAATATCAAAGACGACGAATAAGAAGGAGAGGTGGCCAGCTAAAAACGAAGGGGAAAGGGGTAAAAACCATAATCGATGGCAACGTAAATGCCAGGAGGATCAAGATCCATTGGCTCCGGCCATCGACTAGGGGGAGGAATGAAAGGGGTTTCTACAAAAATGCCTGGTGGATCGAGATCCATCGGCTCTGGCCACCTAGAAAAACGACGGATAGGTGCAATAGGGCGAGCTGGTACTGAAGTTACAGCTGTAACGGGAGGTGGAGGGGGAGGTACTGAAACAAGGGGAGGCGGAGGTACAGTAACAATTGGAGGGGGAGGGACAGTAACAAGGGGAGGGGGAGGAACTGAAATAATGGGAGGGGGAGGAATTAAATTTACAGCTGTAGACGTAGAAGCAGAAGAAGTGACAGCTGTAGAAGAAGAGGGAATAGAAGAAGAAGATATAGCTGTCGAGGTTGGGGCAAGGATTGAAGTAAGGGAGTTAACGGTAAGTGATGAAATAAGTCGTCGCCTTTGCATTTCTCTACGTAATACTTTTGGTTTTGATCTATATGACATCTTTATAACATTCCTAAAAATGATTGAATAAAAATTTTTTAAATATTTTCCTTTCAAATCTTTTCAAGTGCTCATAAAAAAAAATACGGACACGTACCAAATTAAAAAAAAACTTTTGGAATAAAGATGGCAAACTAAGGTTCGTAGATCTTTTATAAGAAGGGTGGCTGAGAAAACAAATGAATGACCAATGAACTACGCGATCTACGTAACCAAACATTTTACTATGATGACGACATTTTTTTCCATATATGGTATATTAAATTCATCCAAATTTAACTTTTAATTCTGGTCGGAATTAAATTGGCCCAAAGTCATGTTTTGTCCTTTTCAAAAAGAAATCATTATCACAATATATTGAACCATTTTCCCTGCGTATTAAACTTTGTTTAGCAAAAGTCGGTAAATAGCCATTTTCTATAAGCGTGGTCTAAATATTTTAGCGAAGCGAAATACTCATCAGCCTTAAAATAACGTTCATGAATAACAAACAGTTTAAACTCTAACCAAATTCCTATCCGAAACCATTTAAACGATTGATTATACTTTAGAAAGTAAGCTAGCTAATTTCAAAAATATATATATATTTTTGACTAATTTATTTCGTTATAAATTTAAAATTAAAAAATATTTTACTCAAAAAATTTAACAATTTAGGTCGTAAATTTATTATTCAAATAAACGTTTGAAAATTTAATTGGTAAATTATTATTATTGTTCAAATTTAATTTAATTATATTGTATAATTACAATATTTATTTTAGATGATGATGGTAAGCTTTTTTGTTAACAATTATATAATTTCTTGTAATTTAAAACTAACTAAATTTATACCTAAATAAAAACATATATATAGGTTACATTGACGTTTATAATTAAATATAGATGATCTTACCATTATAATCTATATAAACTAAATTTTTATTTATAAAAAATTGATAATTACGGTAAGCTATCGAACTATATTTCATTATGAAATTTAAAAAAAAATTTAATGTTTTAGATAATTACGGTAAGCTATCAAACTATATTAATAAAATTATTTTTTTTTGAGCAAAAAAAAGATATATATAAAGTGAACCTTCATTCGTATGCAAAGCATATGAACATAATATATAATAATGTTTCGGGCGAAACCATTTTTTCAAATTCGCCAGTGAAATTTCACCCGAAATATTAAATCACCCGAAATATTAAAGCTTAATGCTAAAATTTCATTTAATGAGTTACGAGTGATGACTTTCTATTGGAGTAAAATTTCCATTTTCTTCTAATTTTCTAATAATATTTTATTTCCAACTACATCATTTTGACATCATCATTTTTGCTTGCATCATGATATGATGTCATGACGATCGTTCGTTCTGAAAGTATAAATTGTTACCTAATTCATCTTTGCATTTCAACTTTTCCACATCCTAACTCTTGAAGTTTCATAAATGTCCACTAACAGACTATTAAATACATTGTATAATGATTATAATTATATACACGATACTGGTGAATTTTCTGATATAGAAATTTTAGTTGGAGAAGAGCCTGATACAAAACTTATAAAATCACATTCATTAATTTTAAAAATTCGTTCACCTTATTTTCGTACCGCTTTATCAAACAACTGGAAAAAAACAGAAAACAACATTATTAAATTGAAAAAACCGAACATCTCTGTTAAAGTATTCGAAATTATTTTAAAGTAAGTATATTCTAGGTTTTCTCCTTGAACAAAATTATTTAAAATAAATAAATTATGAATTAATTAATTTCAATTTATTAGATACATATATATTGGTGAAATTGATTTAAACAAATATGATGTTAAAACAAATGTTGCGATTTTAATTGCGGCTGATGAACTGTGCCTTAAAGATTTATGTAATTTTATTGAAGATAATCTTCTTGACAACAAAGGATCATTAAAAAAGAACTTCGTTCTCATTCAAAATATTGCAGATCAATTTATACAATTTGGCAAATTAGTTCGATTCTGTAAGCTTGCTATTCGAAATGATCCCTTGTTAATCTTCAAAGCTGATGACTTCACAACAATCAAACAAGACTTGCTCCTTGATGTTCTGAAGAAAACCAAGGATTCTGAAAGGCCTATTAAAGTTTGGGACAGATTAATGGAATGGAGCATTGCACAATCTGACGATAGATTACCGACCGATATTAAAAAGTGGACAAATAATGAAATATTGATATTTAAGGAGTTAGTTCAACCATTTTTATCGTATATTAATTTTAAAAAAATTAGTCCAACAGATTTTTTTCGCAAAATCAGACCACTTAAGAATATTTTTGACGTGGATTTTTATATTCAAATAATTGAATATTATTCTTTTAATGCAAGCCAAAAAGGACCTGGAAAGTGATTATTTGGCGGCCTAATATTATTGCTTGAAAGATTCCTTAAATCAACAGATAATTCTATTAATACGATAAATTTAATCAGGAAATGTAATTTATAAGATTTGGCTCAGTTCAATTCTATAAAAATATTTAGATGGTAAATTCATAAAAGATGATTACGACATTCTAGCGTAATTCTTTACGGCAACTTAAAAACTTTATAACATAATATAAATATTACGTAACTGCATGATTAACATTTTGTTATTGCGTATTAATGAAGTAATATTTTAAATTTATAATCATAAAGAACTGAGCCTAACACTATCAGAGATTGGAACAAACAAACAAAACCTTTAACCTAGAGTACGTCTTAAGAATAAAGTTTAATAATGACAATAATCCTACAAAATATCAAATTAATGACGTGTATATTTACTTTCAAATTTACAAAAAGTAGTATAAATAAGGGTAATCTGTGGTTAACATAATTAAATAAACTATTGAAAACAACTAAAGCCATATTCTGACTAGAACCTCAAAAGAATTAATATTCTCAGCTAAAGAATATACAAAAACCGCGTTGCGATATAAAAAAACAAACATCTCCACCGAGATCCGCGAAATTTTTATTTTAAATTTATAAAAAAACAATGCAATGCAAAAAAAACCATTATATCCTTACTTATTTGTCGCAGATATTAAGAATTTAAAAAAATGAAACATCTCCAATCGTTGCCGCAGTAAAATCAGAGATGCGAAGTAAATATCCGTAAAACAATTATGATTGATTTGCTTTTTGTTTTATAACAAGTACCATAGTAGCAAATATAATCAATTGATGACGAAAAAAAGAAACTCCGAAAACAACCAAAAAGATTATTTGTATTTAATTAGAAAAAAAATTTTTTTCTGATTCAAATTATCAACATTAAATAATTTATAAAGTGCCTCGCATACGTTTTACATTACATACTACGGTACCTTGACAACATGTATTACTATTACATTATACAAGATAGATAAATTGTTTTTAAAAAAAAATGTCTAATAGTAATTATAAAGGTAAGAGTGAAATAAATAAACTAAAAACATTTTACCAAACAATAAAAAGGAATAAAAGATATGAAGCTTGATATGAATAAAATGAGTTAATTTGACGGTTTGATAGTTTCGGATGCTAAAAAAGCTTCCTCATTAGAAGGTTAATTATACTCATTTTGTTTGCTAAATTAAATTTTATCAAATTCGAATATAGAATCAGTTTCAATTGATGGAGGTGATACAACACTTTCTATAAATAATTAACCAATACTAAAAGAATTTGTTTATTATATTTTATAATGTAGAATTAACCTTGGGTAATGAAGGTGAATATAATAATAAACATAATATTGCAATTTGTCATCTGTTTTTATTTATAAAATTTTGATAAATTTAAAAAATAATACTAGTATCAAGTGATAAAAGTAAATGCAATAGCAAATATAATTAATTAACAAATATAATAAACTATTAAATATACTCAATAATTGTTCAAATATTAGAAAGATTAAATGGTAAAGAATATTTATAAATTGTTTAAATATTAGATTTTGCTATAAACCATAATTTCAATTAAAATAGAATCAGTTTTAGATGCTCCTATATTAAAAGAATTACAGTTCTCGATGAAAGAATGGCAATGCAATCTTTTACTATATAATTAACTTTTTTTTAAATGATTTGTATAAAAAATTACATAGTATTTTATATATATTACTAGTCTAAATTCTATGTGTATTGTTTAAGTTCACAATGCATATTTTAATATGAATAAAATTTTTGCAATTATAAAATAAGGTCAAATTTGAGTGTTTTATCATTCAAATTAAGATTACAAAAAATTTTACTATATTAATGAGCTTCACCCACTAATAAAAAAAATGTTCAGCTAAATATTCTACAACAGAATAATATATTCTAACTAAAAAAGTAGGAAATAGAAAGCATGAAGTTAAATTAATATGAAAAAAGACTAACTTTCTAATTTTTTAGTATTTTAACTTGTATTTAAATCCAGATTGACAGAAAAGGAGAATATTTTTTATATTTTAATTTTTTGAGTGTATAATTTCTTAATCAAAAGCATTTGAAAATAAAAAAAAATTTTATAAGTTATTTATTAAAAACTTTTATTATTCAAAAAAAACTTTCCGTCATTCTTTTTGCTGAAAACTATAAATAAAATAGTAATAAATTTTATTCATCTATTATTTACTTATATAATTATTTAATAATTAATATTTTTTTTAAAAAAATTTTATGCTTAGATTGTAAACTATTAATATTATTATATTTTTAATTTATTATAATTTAAATTTAATTAAACTATAGAAAAATGTATTTGTAACATTCTGTTACATGTTTTATCTGTAACTACTTCAGAATTTATCACGTGACATTATACTTATTTCCAAAAAGAACATTTTCAGCAGAAAATTGATTTTGACTAAAATTATACTTTTAACCTAAATCTTGCAAGTACTAATCTATAGACTCAAAATAATTGACATTCTATAAGTCAAATCTGCTTACATATATTATATGACATAATTAATGTGATAATTTACAAGTTACATAATTACACTTCACTCATTTTTTTATTTCTTTTACAAGTTTTTTTATCCTTACAAGTTTTCTTTTACTCTTATAATGAATAAAGATAGATATATCATAATTTAATACTTAAAAATCTATTATTATACTTATGACATCACATAAAGGTATGTAAGTTCTTTATTTTTGCATGTTAAATAGATATAATATTATTTCTTATTTCAGAACATACAGACTTAGAAGAGGAATCAGGATAAATATACTATGATACTCATGAAGGTATATTATGTTTTTTATGATGTATCTGATTTCTTTTGCAATATAAAACAGGTTAAACTAAGTAATATAGTATCTTAGGATATAGAAAGTGAAGGTAATATTATTTGTTTCTTCATAAAATATACTGCAATCAACTACCGTTTAGCACTACATAAGATATCCTCTTTTTTTAATACCTTACTTTAAAAAACCCAAATATTTTACTAGATATAAAATTTAATATCTATTTTAAGACCTGGATATAATTCAATTTTAATCACAAGTATTTTATAAGAAACCTAGGTATTTTATATTAAAGTGAAAAAAATTTTTTATTATTGAATAAATGCTATGAAATTAATAATTTCACTAAATATTCCAATTTTGAATTACATTACAATCTTCATTACTTTTATAGTAATTATTTTATTTTTATAATTATCATTTTCTAATTCATTTCTATTATTGTCATTATCTAATTCATTTTCATTATCATTCTATTCCTCTTCTTCTTCAATTCCTTTTCCTTGATTAATTATATCTTTTACTTTATTAAAAGGAAAAATTAAATCATCTTCTGTTCTATCAATTGCATTAGAAATATTACAACATTTAAATGAATAATTGATCATATTAGGATTAATAGCATTCCAACTTTTTTTTACCCAATTAGTAACAAGTAAATAAGATGGTCTTTTAATTTTTCCAGATGGTGTATATTATTTAATAGCTTTATTTATCCAATCATTATAATGTTGTCACATCTATTTATTAAAAATTTTAATATTAATTTATTTAAATAATAAAAAATATAAATAATAAAATAAAATAAAATAAAATACCTTAGTCTTAAAAGATTTATTTAATGATACATCAAGTAGCTGTAAACGAAAAGTTAATCTACTTAGAATAATGACTAAATCAGTATTTTTTTCATAAAATTAACATTTTACAACATCAGTTCTATATACAATAAAAGAATCTAATACTAAAAAAGATTTGGATTACTGCTTCATCTTGCACGTTGTGTTCAAACATTTTTTACTCACCAAGACATTTCATTTTCATTCATCTAACCTTGAGAATTAACACAAATAATTACTCTATTAAAAAACTCTTCTCGAAGAATATTTACAAATTTAAAAATAATTACAGGTGGTAATTTTGTTCCATCAGCCATATAACTTAAAATAGCAGTAAAATTTGAATGCTTATATCTAATTGATAAAATTAAAACAATTTTAGTATCACATTATTCAACTGTTATATTATTTGGTAAATTAAATGATATTGATGTCTCATTAATATTTCCAATTAAAAATAATGGATAATTATGTTCTTTTTGACAAAATAAAATATAAGACAAAAATTCACTTTATTGTTCAATATAATTTTCTGGAAGCCATTAAGTAACTGTTGTTTTTCTTCTATTAATCAGATTATGACAACTCATAAAACTATCAACCTATTTTTGCGAAAATTTTGCATCTTTTATATTAGAATATTCTAACTGATACATTTTTATTAGCTAAAGAATGTGCTTTTGTTTGAATAATATAATAAGAAATGACTTTTAATTGACTTCTGGATTCTTTAAATCATTCAAAAAATTTATCTTCAAGTAATTGATATTTTTGATGAGCACTTGTATTAAGTTTTTGAATATAAAGTGCTGCTTTTAACAATTGTTCTTTATTGTTCAACCATTCTTGAAATTGTTTAGGCTGAATTTCAAATTTTTCTGCAGTTAAACGTTTACTGTAACCTTTTTCATGATATATAATCACATTAGTTTTTCCTGCGCTGACCATTAACATTTCATTTTTCTTGTAATATTAGCATGACAAGTCTTGAAATTTCCACAAGCCATACTTCTAAAAATAAAATAAAAGAAATGTTAGTATAATTTTTAAATATAAGTATATTTAAAAAATAATTTTTTAGTACCTTTAAGTTTTAAAATCTAATAAAAAAAAAGATTCAAAAAAATGCAAAAAAGTAACCTTTAAGTTTCAAAATGCGTTTCATTTTTCAAATGGATAAAAACTTATAAAAGTATTTTCTAGTTTTAATAATTACTAAATCAATAATTAACAAGTGTGACTTTTAATAAAAAGGATAATATATTATTACTTACCTTATTTTTTTGAACATTAGATACTGATAT